ACATCATCATGTTGACAAGCTGGCCTTTTCGGACGGCGACGGGTTGGTCGCGGTTCGGGCCTCCGCCGACTGGGAGGACGGTGTCGCGGACGGCGGTGCGGTTGTTCACTGGTACAGTGGGCCAGTATCGGAGTGTTTCGTTGAGGACGTGTTGGAGATATTTGCACGACTTCAGCGTAGCGAAGTTGAGCTTTTGTGCGTCGTTACCAAAGTCATCTTGGACCGCTTGGCGGAGCTTCTGCTGCACATCTGGACGCTGGGCAATTTCAAGGAAGACCCAGCTGAGAAGCGCACTGGTCGTGTCTCTGCCTGCGAAGAGCAGAGCGAGGATTTGATCTCGCAGCTCCACCTCATCTCTGCACTCGCTCGCAAGTGCGGTCATGAGGTTGTACTTCTTGGAGGTATTGTAGCCCTTCTCCGCATCGCCACCGGTGGCATTCAGAGCCATCTGCACATAATAGCCGGTGAAGTTTCGAATGTATGCAACGGAACGGCGAAAGGCGGGAGTATCAGCCAACCAGTATAGCCCTTGTAGTCTGATCCGATTGGCGAGAAACGTTTGCGCTAGAGATACAGCTTCGGAGAAGTTGACGTCGGCCTTGCTTCTTTCCTGCGCGAAACGCTCAGCTTCGTTGCGGAGCTGTTTGACATCTACTCCGGGAAGCGCTGCTTTGAGAGAGTCGACGCTGCTGCCAAAGAGGAAGGCTGTAGCTGTATCAAGCGTGAATCTGTAGAACAATGGCCCGATATCGAGTTCGCCCCAGCCATCCGCACCAATTGGAATCGCTTGTACGAATAGCTGTGTCGAGTGTTCAGTGTCGTCAAGATCGTTGATCTGATCTCTCGAGAACTGCGGGCGAATCATAGCACGAGAGTGTTCCCAGAATGGACCATCAGAATTGAAGACATTCACACCGAGCAGAGCTCCAAACTGCTTGTGGCGAAGCTCTCCTTGCTCGAAGTCCTTGAACTTTGTTGCAAGAACTGCTTGGAGGTTCTTTGGCTCGGACGTGCTGAGGCCCTTTCTCCCGAATATGCCGCTTCCTTCGTTTGTCCATTTCACAGCGGCTTGTCCCTTATAAATGAGGTCATCCAAGACATCCAATCCCGTGGATTGAGCGCGCAAAATAATCCACAAGCGATCTATTCCCCAGGGCAATTTGTTCGCCGAAATGAATGGAGCGCTGCAGCCATTGTCTCGAGCAAACTTTTGGAACTTGCGTTCAGCAATGGCAGAGTTGATATAGCTGTAGATGAAATAGAAGATCGCAAGCACGGCGACGATTGAAGTCAAGGAAAGCGCCATTTTGGTTCACATGGAGTTGAAGGACTGAAAGCGGAGGAACTGAGGTCAAGCACGTTAAAGATAGGATGTGAATCAAGAGCTGGACAGCTGCGTTTAAGATGGCTGAGAGGACACGTCGCTAGGTTTGATATCGACTCATTACTCGTTGTGAAGGAGCTAAGGATTGTCAATGCAAGCCATCGTCCACTTCGCTCCTAAGGCAACAGTCTTTCGATGTTTTCTTGGTTGGCTAGTTCTTCTTTCCTCGGGATTGGACAATGCCTACGGCCGAATGTTCGCCCTGCGGCCGTTTCAGCTAGGCAAATCAGAGCAACCAGAAACTTGTCCTCCCGCATGTTGTGCAGCCATGATAAAGATGAATCGTAGGTTTGAGAGGCCACGTCTCGCAAACAATTCTCCTGTAGGCTAGACTTTTGATCCCTGTATTCCCCATATCTCGACGCAAATGGTTAGTCTGTCGGCCAAGAAAGGTGCCACAATCATGGCCTCTCAGCTAGCTCTCCTCACCTGCCGAGGACGTGAATAAGAACAGGATATATTATGCGCGATTGGCGGACAGCTGCTGTTCGACCAAGCAATTTTACGACGAAGCCATATGATGCTATTCGTTTTTCAATTTAAGGTACGATAGGCCACTAAAAATGATGCGCTAAACTATTTATGATATAATATGTCAAGGCTTAATGCCAAATCACATATCTTTCTTCAAAAGCGATCTCAAAAGCGATCATTTGAAGTCAGCATTGACCGCACTTGCATTCCGGCAATAACAGGCATTGGTACCATAAAAAGTTCAACAGCTCTCCTCAAAGAATTAGTGAGTACTGGTGTCAGTCTACTGTTAATCCGTGTGAAACAACAGGAGCTCAAATAATTACCCAATTCTGCTCTGTTGCACTGCCACGAACTACAGCTATTGAACGTTCAGGACTACCCAAGGGCAACAGTATTCACCACTGGTCGGGAGGCAAGCATTTTGTCGGCACACTGACAGACAAGTCAGCCCATCCTTGCCGCTCTGCAATTCCATTCTTCCACTGTAGCTCACCTTTAACACAACCAAGCAAGGAAGATCCTCATCTTTCTCCCACAACCACCTACACAAGGCAGATGAAGAGCTGGAAAAAGACAAAGGGGAGAGAAGGGAATCTAATAACAGGAGCATTGTTATTCTGCCACGACAAGAGGGTGTGGTGTACAAAAGACACCAACAAGAGGGAAGCCAAAGAGAGAGAAAGCGAGGACCTCTTAAGAATAGAACTTCAATTGATTTATAAGGTGCTTGCAAGCAAAGGCAGATGAAGTGAACTGGAGAGAAAGAAAGAAGGATTGAGCAGGAAGATTGGTGAGTATATATACCCGTAACCCAGGCGCCAAGAATGTGGCGCTCTCCTCCGTATAGAAGCTTAAATTGGACGTAGAGCTTAAAATGCACGCGATATCGGGTGTCAGAGGTTGTTGCAGCACTTGTTGGTACATCCACACATAAAAGGGAGAGGTAACCTTACAAGCAGATATGAGACTTTGGTTCAATAATTGGACTGACACTCTCGTCTAAAGCTATCGTTGTATCAATAAAATCCATATCATCAATGAAAATCGGCTGATCAGTATGATAACCATGAGCCACACAGATAGCAATCGAGATCTTTAGATTTTCTCAAAAATGAGATCCTTGTAGTCCCTCCTGCTGGCTGTCAGAGGCTCACTTGCGGATTCAAGCTCTGCGGAACCTGTCAACTTCCATTTGTTGCTCATTTCCTTCGTGAACAAGCCAACAAGCAACGCAATCATCGAGATGCTGAAAGGCAGATATGTCTTGTCCAGGCTGGACTTGTCCGTGTTGGGGATGCGGGTCGCTGCCGGACACTGGAACGGAGCAGCTCCAAAAGCCAGGAAATAGTCGTTCATCGCCTGGGTTTCCGTCAAGTCAGGAAGGCTTGCCCATCGAGACGGCAGAAATTTTGTCGGGTCAGGACCCCATCGGGGATCGCTGCGATGACATTCTTCTACACCAGCGATGCGTTCGAACTGCTGCGTACCAACCTCGTACGTGCGATAGATATGTCGATATGGAGGATACAAACGCAGAGCCTCTGATGCAATGATTCCAGCCGAGATACCTTGGTCCTTCTTGTCAAGTGGTACAATCGAAGGATTCTCTGCGAACCGTTGAAGTATCGTCTGCCAAAGCCTTCGGTCCTCGATGGAGTGTCTGTTCGATGCCACTTCTACCAAGCATCGCAAAACGATGCGCCAGAGAGTCTCGTAGCCTGGCAGGATGCGGTTGAGAGGATTATCGGGATTGTCTCCTAAGTCGGACAGCAAAACTGGAGAAATATGTCGCAATAGGTCGTGAATATCGTGTTGGTTGCTGAAATGCCAGGGATCTTCGATGCTTCCATCTTCGAAATATTTAGAGCGAATCCACTGCTCGTTTACCCAAGATGCAAGCGCACGAATATCTCGATCACGGTCAAGATCCTCCGCATCAATACCAAACAATACTTGTAGTGACATCTTCATTGTTGTCATCTGAAGAACGTCCACAAGAGAGTGACTCTGCTTAGCGCCGTTCAATTCGCGCTGGATCACTCCGCGGGCTTTCTCGACGAGGTCGATCCATCCGAGCACTAGCTTCTCCCCTTTCTCAGTCGTTTGAAAGGGGATTGTGACGATGCCTGCTATTTGCCCGCGAAAACTGCTGGCCCGGGATTGGTCGGTGGTCGTGAAGCTGTTGTTGATTCCAAATGCAGAAATAAGCCTGGCATTGGGTCTGGCCCTGCTTTCAAACCTATTCAGCTTGTTAACCTTCTCTCCTTTGCAGTTTTCTGTTGCGATGATCTCCAGGCATTCTTCCGAGCGTATGCCAAGCGATGGATTGGCCATGCTGATAATGATATCTGTTGAAGCACCACGCCGGTTGACAAAACGATAGTCTGAGGACACGCTATGAGGACGTCCTTTCATATATAACCTGATCGATCACACTGTGGTTCACAGGTCTCCACATGAGCCTTTGTCGTGATTGTCTCGGTCAAGGAAACCACAGCGCAGCTGCATGACGCGTAAATACCATCAAAGACACCATGTGTATTTGACGCAGTGTCGATTGCTTCGGCTTTCAGAGTATCGATCGGTGGAAACAGTCTTGGATCTAAGACACATACGATAACAATGGAACACGGAAAATGTTTGCAATATCTTGACCCGTATGTGGATCAGCGCAAATGCGCATCTCAAGCCATGCGGACAGCGCCATTGTCTCAAACAATAGAGTCAGGACTGTGCCCTGTGTCGCAGACTCATTCGATGCATTATCAATATCGAATATGACAGAAGAAAGGGAAAAAGCATTGCATCGTGTAGAGAACATTGGAGAAGGCTCCAGGCTGCCGACTTGAGTCCATGAAGGGGTGAATGCATTCTTGGGGAAAGTTGACGGCAATCTAAAGGACTGATAGAGTAAAAGTCATGGTCATGTATTGGCTTGTAGCGAAGCTAATGGGTGGTAATAATAGTTGAGTGACCTGGTGAGGTCTCGAATGCTCAACGTCGGAAGTGGAGTAATAGGCTGCCGTATTTTCGCATTATCCTCCGCTGGCACCGCAAAGGGCCCTCCCGGCATAAAAAAAGAAGCCCGTTGAACGTCGCAGTCCATTGGCATATGCAAAAAAGTCCAAAAAAGAAATACTGACAAGAGTGGGATTCGAACCCACGCCTCTTTCGAGACCAGAAGACGCGCCATTGGATGGCGAAGCTCAATAAGCTTGAGTCTGGCTCCTTAGACCGCTCGGACATCTTGCCGTGAAAACCAAGAGAACTGAAAGAGCTAGGCTGTCTATATAACCAGCAGGCTACTGATAAAGTTCGGACGGAAAGGCTTGGCCAAGTTATCTCACCCCTCTCCACTTCAACTGGCTCAGTTATCCTTTAGTAAATTATAATCGTCAATACCATTTTGCGGCCTTCGAGGGACCTTGAATAGCGGCATGCATCAACCCGGACTTCACGTGCTAGAAGGGGAAAGGGAAGAGCCAGAGCTTCAAGCTTTGTCCGGTCGATCCGCGATGGCAGCTACTTGGCGAATGGGAGGCAAACGTGGAACCGCTTGCTCCCGCTCCAATGGATTATTGGCGCCTGGTTTCGCGGCCCCAAGGGGGAAAGGCATGAGCCGAATGCGAGATTATTCGCTGCAGGAATTTCTCGCCTGTAGATACGATGAGACGATGAGGCTATGAGACGACAAGAAGACTGGGAAAGTTTCAATTAATTCGCGATATCCACAAAGAAAACGGACATGCGTTGTGAGCATTATCTGATAGAAACAAATCCCTCATAGCTATTTTCCTCGTTTGGAAATGCCATTATATCAGCAGAGCATCCGACTCATGGGTAAATGCGCGAGCCGTAGGGCTGAAAGGGAGAACACATGCCACGCATCAAGTGGACGCGTTCATGGTCCACCAGGGAGGCTGTGGATGTATAAGCACCAAGGACCGGCCATCCAACTAGGCAGACCCTTTTGTAAAACATCGTGAACGCCTCGGCTGCCCCCAGAATTCTGGGCTGTCATCTGAACGTTGCATGTAATAATTTCTGGGAGTGACGTTGTTTGTCCGCCATCCGACCAGCTACCAGATCCTAGCGTCCCCTCCAGCCTCCGGAAACGAAGCTCTTAAACAAACGCGTCCGCCTTGAACGACCTCAGCCCCATGTTCGTGTTGCCTGCTTTATCATCGTCTGTATTACTGCGCCGGAATCTGAAGAGTTTCGCTTTCACGCATTGCTCATGAGGACGGGGACAAACCCCGCAAAGAGTCGCAACCATGGCTGGCATGGAACAGGTGGAAATTCATAGCAAGGTCCGCGCATACACGGGGAGATGATGAAACGCCATGCTGATGATATTCACAGTCCTATCTAGTCCGATGGATACACGTTTCGGCCGGCAACACTATCTCATGGAGCATTCAACCCCACAAGAAGTCGCTCAACTTTGGCATCTTCAAGCACCCAGGCGGAGGTGTCGCTACGACGATTCCCACGCAGTCCGTCCTCGAAGATGTCAACCCGTCGACTTCTGAACTCGTCGGACTGGATGGCGCTATGCAGTCGCGAAGCAAATCGAATAGAACCGATAATTCGGCGGTGGTGGATAAGCTGAAGAGCATTGGGCTAAAGCCGGTGTCTTGGTACGGACGATGCGAAGCGGATAAAGCATCTATGGGCAAATATGATGTAGTGGATGGCGAGGGCGGAATGTACGGGCTAGTCTTCGATAATACATTCTCGAAGCAGGTGTCTAAGACGGCGACGTTCGTCCTAATGACATATCCTACTGGGTTTCCTCCAAAGTCAGGAAACAACCTGCTACCATCGCAGTCTCTGTCGAGTACAGGATCAAGAGGTAGTCCATCCCTCAATGCGACTGGTGGTGATTCGACCGACTCACTCCCTCAATCGATGCAACGGCCAAAACTAGATCCGGAGAGCCGTCCTCGATCCGGACAGAGCGGCGGGAAGAGCACAGCAGACTCCATGATATATACGGGCATTCTGCACAAGAAGAGGAGAAAGCGGAATCAAGGTTACGCACGCAGATTCTTCTCGCTTGATTTCACATCCTCTACCCTATCCTACTACCAAAATCGGCATTCCTCCGCTTTAAGAGGCTCAGTACCGCTGTCATTGGCTGCGATTGGCACAGATGATAACAGAAGGGAGATATCTGTAGATTCGGGAGCGGAAGTTTGGCACTTACGTGCGGGCAACCAAAAGGATTTCGAAGCATGGAAACAAGCTTTGGAACGAGCGTCAAAATCAGGCGGTCCGCCGCCAACGCCTGGAGTAGCCAAGCCAAACCAAACCTGGGATACTCCGCATGAAGTTAATCCAGCAGAAGAGAGTGAGTGGGCAAGAGTAGAGAATCTAGTTGGGTCGGTATCCGGAGTGCGCGATGCCGTCAGGCGGCTCGCAAAGGACACGGATCCCAAGTACTTACCATCTCTGAGCGGTCTTGGAATCAACAGAACGGCCAACAGCCCATCTCCAAGCGTCCAAGAAGAGTCGTCAGACTACTTCGGCGAAGGAAGCGAAAGAGGCAGTTCAAGGGACCAACGGATCCCGTTCTGGAAGCGCAGAGCAAGCAAAGAAGCAGGCAAAGAAGCAAGCCCCTCAGGGGGAATAACCTCCTCAGGCATCTTCCGCCGCAGCGTTTCCGCCCAACTCGCCGTCCCCTCTCCAATGAGCGTCCCCTCCCCTCTACCAAATGGCCAAGTCACCGTCCCCAAGCAGCGCCAACACCAACTCGTCCACGAGCACGCCGAGCACGACGACAGCATCCACGAGCACTGCATGGCCATTCTGAAAGACCTCGACGTCGTCGTCTCAGAGTTCTCCGCCCTCGTCGCGGAATCTCGCCAGCGTCGCCAGCCCCCTGCGGCTCTGCACCATAGCGCCTCCCGCCAAAGCACCGACTCGCTCTCCTCCTCGGACGAGTGGTTCGACGCCACGGACGGCGATACGGTGCGCAGCCAGCTACTCACAATCCGCCGCGACAGTGTCAGTGAAGATAACAGCGATGAGCCGTCGCACGCCGAAGATGCGAGCGACGCGCTGTCCATGAGCAGTAGCGAGTACTCCGCGCCGGGGAGCTTCGAGCGCAAGGGCCGCGCGGATGCTGACGCGGGCATGTTTCCCGTGAAGCCGAAGAGTCTTACGCCGCTGCCTATCGACCGCGCCGTAAAAAGGCGCAAACTTGTGCCGCCTGCAAAGGTCCAACCGCCCAGTTTGATCGGCTTCCTGCGCAAGAACGTGGGCAAGGATCTATCTACTATCGCCATGCCCGTCTCCGCGAACGAGCCGACGTCCCTGCTGCAGCGCGTCGCAGAACAGCTCGAGTACAGCGAGCTCTTAGACGCCGCATGCGACAGCGTCGACACATCCAAGCGCCTCTTACACATCGCCGCCTTCGCAGTCGCCGGCTTCAGCAACAGCCGCGTCAAAGAGCGCGCGATCCGCAAGCCGTTCAATCCCATGCTCGGGGAGACTTTTGAACTAGTCCGCGAGGACAAGGGCTTCCGCCTCATCAGCGAGAAAGTGAGCCACCGGCCCGTGCGGATGGCGTGTCAGGCGGAGAGCGAGCGGTGGACGTTCCTGCAGAGCCCGATGCCTGTGCAGAAGTTCTGGGGCAAGAGTATCGAGCTCAATACGGATGGGCGCGCGAGGGTCTTCTTGCATACCGTGGGCGGGGAGAAGGATAAGGGGGAGGTGTACAGCTGGACCCTCGCGACGAGTTTTCTGAGGAACATTATTGCCGGGGAGAAGTATGTTGAGCCGGTGCAGACTATGACTGTGGTCAATGAGTCCACCGGTGCGAAGGCGGTGTGCGCGTTCAAGGCAGGCGGGATGTTCGCGGGTAGGAGTGAGGATGTTACGGTCCAGGCGCTTGATGCTCACGGTGGGGCGGAAGCACTGGGCTTGGTTGGAAAGTGGACGTCTCATCTGAACTACACCTCTCATGGTTCGGACACGGGCAAGACGCTCTGGGCTGCCGGACCGCTTGTCGACAACGCGCCGTCGCGATATGGCTTCACGCACTTCGCTGCGACGCTTAACGAAATCACCGCCGTGGAGGACGGGCACTTGCCGGCCACAGACAGCCGCTTGCGACCTGATCAGCGGGCTGCTGAGGATGGTGATTTGGATCGGGCAGAAGCCCTGAAAGCCAGGCTTGAGGAAAGGCAGAGGGGCAGGAGACGAGTCATGGAGGAACATGGAGAGCAGTGGACGCCGCGGTGGTTCACCAAAGTTGGCACGGTGAATGGGGAGGATGGTGGCGAGGAGATCTGGAGACTGAGGACAGGCAAGGAGGGATATTGGGAAGAGAGAGCGACAGGCAAATGGACTGATGTTACGGACGTTTTCGCGAATTGAAGCTAGTTAGGTTTTTGATATCCCGGGATTCGGACTGCTATAGCTTCGTATATGGTGAGAACCTCTAGGAATATCGTGATGTTCAACTTAGAGCGCCAATATTCAATTCATTTTGCACAATAATTCAACCCTGCTTTCCCTATTCGGAGGAGAGTATGTGGATTTGCATCGCATTCTTTTTTGGGTTTCTCATTTCGACTACCAGAAACGCTATGCTGTCGCCTTCCACTCTTGCTACAGTACATTTCTTTGCCTCGCCTTCGTTGCCCTGCATTCAGCTCCCGTTTTTCCTCCTAAAAGCAGCACCAGCAACAGCAACCCCAATCACAACCTTCTAGTTCAGGCTCGCCCCCACCATCATCTTTGAGCATCACGCCATCACCAGATACCAGCGACCAAGCGCACGCAGAGAGTGCATGCGTCGTTAAATGCAATTGCAGAGGTCAAAGGTCAACGCCATACGAATTATTCTTCTGCCCAGCCATGCTCAAGGTAGAAAAGCCTACAACGCCGAGAACACGAAGAGCTGTGAAGTAGTCAGTCTCTAGACATCAAAGGGCGGAGGTCCAGGTAGGCGAGAGAAAATGCCCACATTGTTCGTTGCCGCGATGGCAATGCTGTCCTCGAACGGGTGCCAACTCATATGCAGGATCTTCTTGTTGAAGTCGATCTGATCTGCATCTGTCTCCTTCCTCATCCTCTGTCCTGGACCAACAGCGCCAGCAGCTGGACTGTTTGCTCTGCTTCCTGGTTTCTTGTTTGTAGAGTTGGTGGGACTGGTTGAGTTCATCGGCGTGGGGATGCCAACCTTCTTTGCCTTGAACGCCGATTTGTCTGCTTGCAACACGACCTCGGTGTCCTTGTCAGGG